TAACAGCCAGTCTATGATTAGTGGTTGAGAATCTGTACGGAGAACTTATTAACGATAGCTTACTCCTAGCAATTGTAATATGAGCTGCTCAGACTTATGTTTATAATTTTTTTTTTGCTCTGTGTTGTAACAATTTCACTAGCAGCTTTTCAAAACTGTTAGTTAGCTATCAGCTCTCTCTCTACTAAATCACTATTTGAACTTTAGTCCTTCAATAGTAAGTGAAAAAAAGGTTGCTTTTCTTTTTTTCTCGTTTAATTCATTATTAAAATGCTAAGATTTTTTCAAAAATTTCCTATATCATGCAATTTCCTTTTTCATTCCAAACTTTTTTTATTTTTCTCATTCTCAAGATGAATAGCTATTCAATTAGAGTGAAAATAAAGTTAAACATTTCCCCAGATATTGCTTTCCAATTTTCTTCCGAGGATGTTAAGCAAAATAGACTCATATAAAATTTATGAAAAAAATCTACACAGGAAATTAGCTAATCAATGGACTGATTTTCTATTTCATACAGAGAACAATCGGATAAAGATCCCATTTTAAATCAGAATCATTTCATATTAATTAACAAATTAATTAACTCGTAGGTTTTCACATGCTTCAGCACATATCCATCTGATAAGCGTCACATGTACCTGACAAAATCATACTTCCTAATGAATTTCATTGAAGCAATAGGTGGAAGTACTAATAACGGAGCAAAATGACTCAATCAATTGAAGGAATTTACAAATTATATTGACAGATAAATGAACAACAAACAAGCCAATCGATTATTGAATGTGTTGAAAAATATTTTGAATTAGCTTAGCAAACGATGATAAATAATAGCTCCTACCAAAGTATTCGTGTACTCTTTTCCAAACGAATATGCTCGTTAACAGTTCGAAACATTTTAATTTTCTTCAAACAAAAAAGCTGTCTGTCTTATTTTTCCACGCAATTTCATCGCTTCTTATTGATAACTTTTCAAAAAAACTGCATGTATAATTTTATTTTTGTACAGGAAATTGATTGCGGAGAAATGTCATCCATCGAAATGTCTTTGTGTTACGTCGGGTCATGCTTTTGATGGTGCTTAACATGCCTGAGAGTTTAATTTATTAAATTTCTGATTTTTAACAGCCAAATTGCATTCTCTTAGCTCATTCATTCAAGCATTGAGAGAAAACTGGAGAATGCTGGCATAGGATACTGAAATATGATGTCAAATTTCGCACTTAGAAATGATTACAATCATTAAACTACTTTTGAAAACAGCTGATAGCAGAAGAAAACGATGAAATCAGTGATAGCAAATTCACATGAGAATGCATTTACTTTTATTCAATTTTCATTTCATTTTATTTATTTTAAAAAAGAAGTATTTCAATAATAAAATGATGATTATATTAAATTTAGTTTTTAAGATAAACAATTCTTCTGAATAATATTTCTCCTCAAAACAATATCGATACAAAAATAAAATTGATGGAAAAAGTATGGTGGATAGATAGAAAGCTGTCGTGAAAGAGTTTTTTTTTTAAAAGAACAATTTCGAAAAAGTTTTTTTTTTGGACAAAAACAATTGTGAATTTTTTGAGCAATCGCAAATGACTTAAAAGAAAAAAAAAGTCACTGGAACGAAGCAATAAAACTGTACGAAATGCATCCTTTACCGGACGAAACTGAAACTCTTTAGATTCCTAACGAGCATATATATCTGTGCAGAAAAGAAAGAGTGCATGTACACTCTGTAGGAGAAAATTATCCTTCCATACTTTTATTTTTTTTTTTGTTGAATATCTCTGAACACACTGAAAAAAGAAACAAATCTTTAAAATTTGTTGAATTCATTTAAAAAATGCTTAAAATGATCTATTAATCAGTTAGACAATGATTTAATCCTACCAGAAAGGGAGAAATCAAACTCATCCTTACTGGTATATTTTATGAAGGGTGTCGTGGACATTCTTTTTTTTATTGACGTTACATAGGCGCAGATGAATAGTGTCGTAAAGTACGTGTCGTAAAATAATATTCATAATAGTACCACCGGTGAAGATCATCTTTACTGATTGTGATAATGCTCTGCTATTGATTGTAATACTAATATTACCACTGATTGTAATACTTATACTGCTCGAACTGGATTGAAGCTGACATTATATTTTTAAAAACCAGGAGAGCTAAGTAAACAAAAAGGTTAGTTTAAAATTTTACAACCATTTAGCAAATAAAGCGCATTATTATTATCTTTTGGAGACAAAGTGAATTAAGGAACAAAGGATTAGCTTAACATATTGAGACAATTTAAGTTATTGATGAACAATTTTTGTAGTACAGATTTGTGAAAGACAAATTTACTTTAATTATTTCAGCCTATTATAAAATTATTTCGGTTTTCCTGTACTACATTACATTTTTTTACTCCTTGTGCATCGAATTTTTAAAAATTTTCATACCATCATCTTTTCGAATTCTTTTTTTATCTTCAGTGCTACCATTTTTTCCTGTAATTTAAAATTTTAATGTTCTTCTATTAAAAAAAAGAAAATTTTAAAACCGAATCATTTTCAAAATTTGAGCCGTATGTGGATTATCAATGTAACTGATATTAATAGTACAGATTCTCTTAAGCTTTAAGAAAAAATTTTTTAAGTGGGAGATTTCTGTTTTTCATCTTTTTTCAATTTTAGACTTTAATCTTTTTTTGTTTCAAACCTTAAAAGATTTCGGTTTTATAGCCTCTGTCTTATAAAATAATAGATATACCTTAAGATATATTAGATACTTATAATGAACCAAAAATGGAGTAATACTTCCTAAAAAAATTATGGAAAAAAGTCTTGATAATTCAACACTCTTAAATGCCTTTTTCTCTCTGAAGAATCGGTTCTAAATGATATGAAAACTTCGTAAATTAAAAGTACCTTGTAAGTTTTTTTTCTTAAAATTCTTAGAATACTTTTGAATCATACATTTTTTCATACCATTATGAAGAATGTATTTTAAATTATTGCATTACTTCCTTCATATTCTCCACTGATTTATGCCATGAACAGATACCTAATGCATTATCACAAAGAAAATCTCAAATTACAGTAGGGCTAATGAATCAGTTCAATTACTAAACTACTTTTATCAGCGAAAATGAAATAAAACTGTTAAACGTTTTTGAAGTTTTCATCCAAACTTTTTTAAAAGAACTTTGGTTGGTTTTATATGAAACACTAAAAAATATGATCACTCGAGAAGGTGTAGAACAAATCTGTGCATCAGTTTTCCGCTCCGTCCAAATATCTCTCAGCTTTATTTAATTTTCCATTTTTTTGGATTAATATTGATTTTTGAAAATAATTTACTAGTTGGAAGAATTAACAATTCAAAAACTTTTTCATGCTAATGATATGATGTTGCAAAATTTTGATGTAAAATTAATGTTTGATGAATTAGTTAATATTTCAATTTTGTCACTTATTTTTAACTGATTAATATTGAATTACTTTGGGTGGTGAAACAGTGATTACTTACATTATTTCTTTTTTTTTATTTGACATTGTTAAAATGAAAATTGTGAACTTAATGCTAATATTCTTTATGAGCAAGAAAAACAATGATATTAAAATTTAATGTAAAGGTTTCAGATATGCTAGTAAATCCAGATCGGAGACACAATGCCAATCAGACGATAACGCGTTTCAACAAAGCATCAAATTTCGGACAATTGCTTGATTCACTTCGTCGTGCTGCCAGCCATTTAGGAATATGGAATGATGAGATGCAGCGCGATCTGCCAAAACGATGGGAAAAACACGGGAATATGATTATCTTACCGCATAACTGTTTCAAGCATCCAAATTGGAGACTAATGGGTAGATATAGATGTACCACTAATCAGGCTTTAAATAAGTTTTAAAACAGACTTTGAGATATTTGTTTATTTAGATTTAAAATGAATTAAATGCTACTGTGTAGTATTTTCTCACATTTTTATTTCTTCATTATTCCTACAATTAGAATAATCTCATTTCAAATTCATTCCTAAATCTTTTTAATATCAGAGAAATGAATTCAAAACGACGTAAGCTTTTAATTGTTGGTTAAACAGTACAGTAATTTCAAGATTGTATTAGGCCCAAAATTATGGGAGATGGTAACAAAATTACTTAATACGAGTCGTTTGGGAAAGAAGCGTATTATTGGCGATGAGTTTCATGAGTCTCATGTCGATCTCTTGTACGGAAAGGATGGATGGGTGGAACATATTGATGGTGACATCAGGTATTACTTATTACCTGACTTTCAGTGAATGAAACTCCAAAGAGAGCAATTGATAATCTCTCATTATGTGATTCAATAGTGATAGGAAGTGGAAGATTTGATCTCAACTTTTATTTGATGTTGCTATAAAGGCAGTTCTGCATAATTCATCAATAAGTATTTTTTAAACGAATTTTTGCTTCACGAAACTAATTTTCTACAAAACAAAAACTGTAACGTATTTAAACGCAAAACTTACAGATTCCTTTATGATGTCACGAAATGTTTCTTTTATGTCAATAATGTCTCAGAGAAGCAACGTATCTCAGAGTTCGACTGCCATCAGGAAGTTGTCACCGACATGTTTGCCGGTATTACATATTTTCGGAGCTAATAAATAAATTAGAAATCTGCTAATTATTTTCTACAATAAACATTTCCGGTAACAGGAATTGGATATTATACATTGCCTTATTTGGTAAGTGCACATGCAAAACATGTCTATGCTATCGAATGGAATGATGATGCAGTTGAAGCATTAAAACGTAGTTTGCAAAGTAACAATGTTCAGGATCGCTGCACAATCATTCAAGGTGACTCCAGAAAGGTAACCTTTGAGAAGTTTTAAATTGTTCCTCCAATTGGCTGTTTGATAAATTGACAAACTCAGTCCCATCTAATAAATATAGGGAATAAAATGTTGCAGAAATGAACAATGTCCCACCACATAACGGTAATAGTGAGTTCCTAACTTTGCAGATTCCTCTTATCTTTCTAGTACCTCCATTAAAATTCCAAAATCATTTACTTACTATTATAAAAATCAATCCAACTGTCCTCAGAATTGTTACAAATCAGATAAATGATACTATAATACATTGAATCAGAAAGGCAGTTTTTGATACTTCAGGAATTTCACTGAATATTATTAATACCATTTTCTGTAGTAAAATATCTTTTTCACAAAAATTTTGATTACCACAAATCGGTCGTTACCATAGGTAACACCGCAAGGTATAGCAGATCGTGTAAATATTGGATTGCTACCATCATCGCTACCATACTGGCTAGCTGCTTGTAAATGTCTGAAATCAACAGGCGGAATACTTCACATACATGAAGCGATCAAGACATCAGAACAGGGAATTGGCTGTTTGAAGCTCACTGATAAACCAGTTGCATATCCCAAACTTATGAGGTAATGAAATTTTACTGAAATCTTCTTTGTTGGAAGTTTTATACATTTCGTTAAAGTGGAATTTCAACTTTCACTCACTCAGAAAAACCTAGAATTTAAATCAAACTTTTTATGTCACACATTACATCATAAAGGAAATCCGATATAGAAACCAGTAGGATTATTGACTGAGGAAACTGCATTATTTATCATTTAAGGTTCTCTACCAAAAACTGTCTTCAACATAGCTTCAATTAGCATTCGAGAAACTTTCTTACTGTTACAGCAAGGAAAATGTGAAGTCCATCAACGAAGAGACTGCATTAAATGACATTACCGATACTAAAAATATTGATACCGAAAAAAGAATTACACTGGAAAAAAATGATAACAATAAAAGCATCTTCTTTAGCAAATCAATTGACAATAGTGCTATGCAGTGTGAAGGTTTGGTTCTCATTCAAATTTGACAAATTTTTTAAGCAAAATTTCTTGAATCAAATGAAGCATAATACAGCACTTGTTTTCTGTGAATTCAATACAATCAATTTCTAAATTTTAGGATTGAAAATTTTTTAGAAATCAGTACTACAACACGCGACAGTACAATGAAAAGAAGGAAATTAAGTCGTTCAGCAACTATCATCAAAGAAATGGAAAGTCGTATCTTGCCACATGGACGAATTGATGATCGCTTGAGAAAAAATAAGTGGTCGATGATCAATCCGATCTTGCAAAACTTTGCCATGACCTGCGCTACAAAGTAATTTCCACTATAAAAAATCCTAATTACAAATCCATTTAAATCTTTGGTGTGGAACGAAGTTATTCAAACAGAGCCACACAAACAGCAGAGTCATATATTTCAGCTGTACTCGGTATCTGAATAATATCCATGATGAGAAGGATAAAATTTGGACCTGTACAATATTAGAAGTGAACATAGTGAAAAATTATCAAATACAAACAGATCATGTTGTTGTGGATTTGTTATGCCGACCGGAGGATGAGAAAGAAGTAAAACGCACCGAACTTCAGTATCAAGCTGACTATGGTTAATTCCTATTTCTATTGTATTATTAAAACATTATATTTTGTTGAGCATGAATCAATAAAATAGATATTCTAAATTTGCTGCTTCTCAAAGGAAATCTGAAATATAACAAAGATCACATCGGCTATCAAAATTCAAGTCGGGAAGAAAAGGAGGAAGGTAATGAATTAATCATGTTGTATAACACTTTGGAATTCGAACAAAAAAAAATTTAGATAGAAAAAGGAGGAGAACTTCTGACTGATCATATTAACTTAATGTTCATTTCATTCCGGACATTAATATAACCATTCAAAATTTCTTCTTTTATCTACATAAATTTTTAACGAGAAATACGAGGGATTTTCATTCGGGAACCTACAAAAAAATATTTATTTTTATCAGGGAGAAAAATTTCTCGATAACAAAGAGATGAAACTAATTCACTCTTAAAAATATCCAGGACTGGAATTTACTTATTGGTATTTCTGCTCCAGGTATCGCATCTTGTAAAAAATGCACCCTCTTGTAAGCAGCAAATTTAATACCAACAACAAAAGGAATCAGAGACCACAAAAAATCCATTAATGCGATAATGCTAACGCGGTGAAAGACAGGCAGGAAAAAAAATTATAAGACCAATTGCAAATTGAGAAGGAGCACGTAATTAATGAAGGTACACTGAAAAAAAAAAGGAATGAAAATAGAGATAAATGTAGTACCATGTAAATATTTCATAAAATTTATAAAAAAATATAAAATGACCAAACTTATCGTCCACGAGACATACTACGATTTGCTGTAACGCGCCTTGTTCGCTGAGACCGATTTGTTCTATCTCCTATAAAAGAAAAACAAAAATTGAGTGAAATACACATGTACATCAAAAAGATTGAAACATCCTCTTCAAAGATCGAACATTGGTATGAAAAGTATAGTTAATTTTAAATACTGCGAAAACTGCAAATTCCTCATTCTCTTTACAGCTGGTTTATAAAGTAAAATGGAATTTGGATTTAAGTAAAAACAGTTAACAATAACGCATGAAAAAGTGTAAAAGTAAAAATACCTTCCGTTCTTTTATTTTTTTGCGATCGTCTTCGTCCTTTCTTAACAATGCTGACACTGTCAGAATTCGTGCCGTGTTCTTGAAAGCGATTTGATGCTAAAACATATGATCAACTTTCATACTATAATAAAACGGTCAACTTTCATACTATAATAAAACGGCAGCACTTAAGTTTATGCTTCTCCGGCTTAATTTTAATTTTCAAAAAAAAAAACAGTCTGGGAACACATTACTTTCACTTTCCTCTATCTCTCTCTTAATGTTTGTTTCTTCATCAACTACTTGGATAATATCCTCTTCTGCTTGTTCTTCTACTCCTGCAATATGGGCATTACATTGCGGAGAAAAATCATACAACAATAAAACCAATTTTGCAATCGAAATAACTAAAGTTTTATAATTTTAATTTTAACAAAAATGGCACCAAAAAGGTGTACTTCTTCAAAGATTATTTGGAAAATAATAACAACCAGTGTCCTAACCGACTATTATTGGAGCGTATCGACCGGTGAGTAATGACTGACCAGCAGGCGAACTCTCCGTTGTTGCAAGTGACAATAATCCGACACGTGCTCTGCAAAGAATTTTTAATTTTTCTTTCAAAGCATCATGACTGTACATTTATGGTGTTCATTAATTAGAAATTTGCATTAAATATTGACTTATCGAGTGCTCCATTTCCTAATCTCGATGCCTGCCGTTGCACTGAACGTCCCATATTGTCTAGCATCTCATCAATGTCCCGTTCATATGCTGTCAATAGTGGAGCGATTAACTGAAACAGTTTATAATGAGGAAGATATAATTGTACTACCTAGTACTGGAAAGAGCAATATAGTAATACCTTTCTAAATTATTTTTCAGTGAGCATACAAATGCATACAAATGACCTTTTAACAGTCCTATTTTCCTTCAGATGTCAATAAGCTACTTTAATATTAATGTTTACTTTCTGATGAACGATTGAAGCACCGTCCGTCCATGATGATGCTGTCCAGAGCAAGAAGCTCATCTTCATCAGCAAATAACCAGGCACAATATACGGCAAAAGGAGTAGATCACCAATAGTATCGGCTGCTAGAAAGCCTGCATAAACCGTCCAGTACTTCAGCCATCGCTTCTGAAACAATTCATATTATTCCTAATTGGAGGCTTTTATGAGACAGTTACTGAGAAGGAAACATGAGAAATAAGAGAACTGTAACCATTTGTAGAAAATCGCCTTCACGAATAACTTTGAAAGTTTTGAAAGCCGGATAAAGTGCTCCAATCACAACAGACGCGGCGTGTGAAAGTAATTGAAGAACCATCTGAAAGCAAAATCTCCTAATACCAATGATGATACATGTCGTGTTGAGGCGATGAAATCCTATAACGCATAATCAGCTGATCATTCCTAGACATCACATCCATTAAACATTACCGGAAGAGTTCCATACCAAAAAATGAGATAGAAAAGGAAATTTGGAAAGATGATACAACAAATGAAGAGATAACCATCTGTACGCCTGAATGTTTCAATGATAAGCTCAGTAGATTATTTTGATCTGATCAGACAGAACTTTATGCTCCATCCTTGAACAGAATCGACTCTGCAAAATTTAATCGGTAGAAATCTGCAAATTTTATTTTTTTGGTGTTAAAAATTAATGTTAAAATGAAAAATTACATGTATTATTTAGTAACCTTTACTCTCCAATGCAGAGTTCAAGCAAACTTAGCTATTCATACCGGCCCTATCTACCTCTGTACCAGATCTATCCGTCCATATTCACTCCGTAACAAGGCCTCCACATCAAACCACTTCCCGTTGCTAAGCCTTCCGAACATCACTTCGCAACAAAACTTTGTGTTCTCATAAGGTTTGTAATCGTGTTGCGAAAAGATGATTGAGAGATGGAAGTGTGGAAGAAGCGGGGAAAGGGTTTTGGGAGAGAGGGCGGGGGCGGGATTCGTGGGTGGTGATATGCAGAGGACGACTTGAATTCTCTATATTTAATTATAACACTATAGTAATCTTTTTCGAAATTCGTTCTTATTGCAGAAATTAAATTTAATTACCGTTAGTTATGTTTAATATTGCAGGAGAGATAAAAATGGCTCGCAATGGACTACAGCAATACTTTACAAGTGAAAATGTCGATATGGGAGTAGGCGATATTTTTTTACTTCTCTTTTTAATTAATTCCATCATCTATATGTGTATAAAAGATTTTTATTTCATTCAAAACAGGCTGGAATGATTCATTGATAATATGATAGCTGTATACTACACAGAGTTCTGTCATTATTATTTAAAAAAAGAAAGAGTGTGAGTTGTCTTTCATCTGTTATTTTACGCAAAATGGCATCATTTTTTTCAGACAACTCTCATTGCAATGGAATTCGACGGTGGGGTTGTGGTTGGAACAGATTCGAGAACAAGTTCCGGGTATATTTTTTTGGCTTCAAATTACATTTATTTAAAATATACATTAATATTAATGTTTAATAAGAAACAATGGTTTTTTAATGGTACGAGTTACCATGATTTAAGAACTTATAGACGAGGAATTTATAGACTGAAAATGGCAAATTCCATAAAATTGGAAAGGAACAGAGAAAAAAAAATGAGACAAAAATAAATGTAAGATTTTCAGCTTAGTTTCACCATTGACCCGTCGTACTTTTATTCTGTAATTTTTTGATTTTAAAGGTAGACTATCATACTGTATTTTAAATATCGTAAAGATCATGTTCTTTATATCTTAATTTATATTTTTCATGATCACTTGTCATTTTTTTGCTGTTGTGGTGTAACCATTGTGTTGTTATATGAGAATGATGCATTGATTTTTTTATTTGACATTATTTCAAGCTCTTGGCATTTATCATTTTACGACAGGCGGTTACACTGATGTAATTCTACTTCAACCTTTTTCGCGATGTGCACATATTTCCAAAGTGGTACGTGTACTGTTTTCAGAACTTACATATCATCGCGTGCCACTGATAAAATTACTCCCATTACGGATCGAATAGTTGTTTGTCGTTCTGGCTCTGCGGCAGATACACAAGCAATTTCTGATGTTGTGAAGTATTATATTGAGGTTTATTCGTAAGTTTCAATCCATTCTGATTTTAATAAAGATTTTGCTATAAGAAATTTTTTTCTGAAGTTTATACTTGCAGCTGCTTTTTTATCTTTTAACAGAATGATGGAAGAAGAAGACGTTACTGTCGGGCGCTGTGCTCAGATCTTTCGGAATTTTCTATACAAATATCGTGACTCTTTGTCAGCGTCAGTTTTGGTTGCCGGCTACGATGATATTGAAGGTGGACAGGTCAGTGCTAATTATTGAAACTAATCATATCTCTAGTTTCTTTCAACATTTTTTAATGAAACTAGCATGTAACAATTCTTTGGTCTCTATAAAAAATTTCTGTTTAGTTGTATGCAGTTCCATTGGGTGGTTATGTAACTCGACAGCGATGCGCATCAAGTGGTAGTGGTAGTACGTTTGTACAAGGTTTTCTCGATAGTCAATGGAAGGTAAATATATGGTACTTTTTTATGAAGAGAGTAATTGATGAACTCTTTTTTTGTGTTGCTTCATTTGTTTATTTATTTATTTTTACGATTCAAAAATATTGCCAAGAAAAATGGACAAAAAGAACATGAATTCATAGCAAACATTTGTAGCCGGGTATGACTGTTGAAAAGTGCAAAGAAATAGTACTCTATGCAGTAGCTCTGGCAACAATCCGTGACGGTTCTTCTGGAGGTGTTATTAGATTAGCTGTCATTGACAAAACAGGCACACAAAAAATGGCTAGTTATTTCATTCTTGAAATTTTATCATTAATATACCGTTATGCTTCAATTTCTTCGTTCAGTTTAATATTGTTTAATTAGCTTAATTTGGGTTTAAAGCTTAAGAACTAATTTTTCTGACGTCTTTTATCAGAGAAAGTGCTGATCTTAACGTAAAACGCTTTTTTTGAGTAAGGCATTTATTTTCTCAGTGAGGTTATGGACGCCTATTCCTTATCCTTATGATTGCTTAATGATAATAAATTCACTCTATTCTTTCTCGTTTCAGCTTATTCGGCCAGATGGGAACCAGTTTCCGAAGTTTACTGAGATCCCAGCACATCTAACATATCCGAAACACGTTGTTCAGTGACTAAATTCTTTTTTGAATTGCTTATGTTGGGAATATGTTACCTGTGAGTAACATAATTCCAACTATTCCGCAATATAACTAAATTATGGAGTTATAAAGTTTTAGTATGCCAAGAAAATTTTTTCGCATGGATGATAAAGAATTGTTTATGTTGAAGTTCGGCTTAGTGACTTCGTTGTCGAAATAAAGACTGTCCGAATTTTTTTTCCACTATTTGGAATTTTGAGTTAAAGGCGAAGAAAAGATATACAAACAAAGCACTTCTCAACAATTTGAAAAAAGATGAATTGTTGCTTTCATTTTTTTTGCATGGCTACACAAAGCACTTCTCAATAATGTGAAAAAAAAGATGAATTGTTGCTTTCATTTGCATAGTCTTAGAAAATTTAAATGTTTTCTCTTCGAAATTAGTTCTACCAGAGGACGGTTGTTCATCAAAACGGTTGTTCATCAAATGGAAATAATGTATTCAGTCACGGCTATTATGCTTGTCGTTTTTGGTGCAGAAAGTTTTGTAAGTTCTATGACTATTTGAAGTTGATGAAAATCTAAGCTTGATTTTTCGATTATAATGAAGTTTGGGGTCAAAACTCTGCGAGATACGATTGTTATGGTGGTGCTGCTATATAGAAACTCATTGTATGCATCAAAGGGTCATTGTTTCATTTATTTTGAAAAAGATGGGATGAAGATCGGATTTTAAATGAGTGAAGACTGCAGCTGGACGAAGAGAATGTGATACCAGATTTGGCACCTCATATTGATAATCCAATGGAGTTTGAATTCATTGAAGATATTCATAAGAAGCACTATTTGAAGTCATTGTTTACAGAGTCATTTTATGAACCGAACTGTGATGGTAAACCCAATGTCACGGTAAAATGTGAATGATTTCATGAAAAACTAGAAATTGTTTCGAATGAAATTTCTTTTTTATTTATAGAAGTTATTTCTAACACTTTGCGATAAGATAATCTCACACATTTTCGAATTAATAATTACAGTTTTGTGATTGCTAGATTATACTTAGCTTGTGCAATATAATTCATCCATGTTCATGCTTCAAACAATATAATTCATTCATAGTTTGTAAATTATAACAAGCTAATGGCATATATTATAAGTTTCCACAGATCAAACCGATTTACTTTTGGCCTGGTCAACGTATTGATCTTCGATGTGTGATGTGTCGTCGAGCATTTACTTTTAATGGATTAATGAAACACTGGTGGTTTATGCCGGCAAAAGAAGTTGAAGATGCACTTGGAGATATGAAAGTTTGAGTATTTTGTCAAGAAGCAGAGTTTAAAATCGTGAAACTTTGTCTGAGTAGTCTTTTTACTTATCAAAACATCTTAATATCTATTCTTGATATGCGAAATAATGGGCGATGTCCACTAGTTGTTAGAGTGATGTGAATTCCTAATTTATTCTTCGTTTGCACAAATGTTCTTGTTCCATCTACTTTTCGTGCTCATTTTTATTTGTTTATCGATGATCATTGTCTTCAAGTTGTATAAAAATTTAGGATGTCTTAGAAAGTAAGTTAATTTTTGCAAAACAGAAAGTATCATTAATGAAATTGCTATTACTCAAGTTATGAGGTCGGCTGTATTTAAATATTTAAAACTAGAAGTAATTATTGTATTAATATAGCATTTCAGAATCTCAAAAATTCACCTAAATGGAATCAACATTTGATGACGTTAAGTGCTGATTTTGGAGATAATAGATGGCGTGATTTTGGTGCAATGCCTAACAGCTTCGGAGCTGCCACAAATCCGCGATCACAGACTGTATTCATACAAAGAAACGGAATGCTAATTTTGTTACAGGTATTGTTGTCACACACTGTTCTATACTCATTTATAACTAACAATTTTTTTAGCTTGTTTATGTTAAGAATCCTACAATGCTAGACATTGTGTGCAGGATAATAGAGCCTATCATTGCATTAGTCGATCATATTGGCACAACTGAACTTCATTATTCAATGTTTAAAATAAAATTTTGTTTAGCTACAATTGATAATTATTTTTTATCATCACATATAACAATTACTGCATGAAAATTAAAAAAGGAAATTTCCAGCCAACATCCGAGAATGAAGGCCTATATCGTTGCTTAGACATAGCCTCAAGAAATGTTTTGCACTTTATTTATTATTTAATTGTAATGCAACCTATTTTCATTTATCTTCAGTAAGTAATTTCTTTCCCAAAAAAGCGAGGAATTTTGATTGATTGTTCATTTAAAAATGTTTGTGATGAAAATTATGCATTTAAATTATCAATAATATGAATTTAAGATAGTTAAAAATACTTCGAAGTTTTCTAACATTTTCCCTATCAGCTTTGCTCCATCATTTGCTTTCTTTGACTGTGACATATTTAGAAAATACGTTTGAAAATTATGTAAGTCTAGTTTATTCTTTTATCTTCCTTTCCATAATTTAAAAGCATTTCCTGCTGCTAATTTTATCAGTGTAGATTGCGAAGTAATCTTTGTCAAGAAAATGTCGTAATGACCACTGTATTATTTTATCATTAATAATTAAACTTAAATAATTTAATTTTGATTTCTAAGGCCTGGTGAAGAGCAAACTTCTCAGATTGGTATGTTCATATTTTTTTTATTACATGTTTATTTGATCATATTTTTAATTCTTAAATAAATGTTGGAAAAACGAAATAAATTTATGTATTTATCGATAAGAACTAAAAAATTTAGTAAACAATAGCTGCTGAAAATTAGTGCACGATTTATCACTTTGAATAATTGATCATAGGTGGAAGAAAATATTTTTTTCATATTACTATATACTAATATTTCAAGTCTATTTTTGAAATTTTTTCAAAACAATTTTCAATTTCTTGTATATAGTTTGTGCATGTAATTTAATCTAATTAAACTTATGAAAATATAAAAAAAAACAATAACTGACAAATTTGTCGTAGTTGACAAGAAAATAACAGGTTCCTTGATTTGATATGATCTTAATTTATTATTTCAATCTGGTTTGCTTAATTGAAAAGTAATATTACACGTCAAATTTTTTTTGAACAGAAAGTGAATGTCCGGAATCGCAAGGTTTTCCTGATTCAAATTGGAAATTTCGTCACATTCCTCCTACATATATACGTGACGCATTTCGGATGTGCGCTATGAATTGGACATCGTGCCTTGATTGGGTACTCTTCCTTTGATAATTTGTTTGTTTGTTTCTGTGAAATAGTTTGTAAATCACTTTGAAAGAATTGTCTTGAAAATGAAAGGAGAGGAAACGGACCAAACAAGAATGCCCACTTCTATCGCCAATTCAATCGAGCAATTAAGTTGAGAATAATCCAAATTTTTTATCTGCTTATTAATAATTTTTTTACTCGACTATGTAGCGATTGTGTTGCATGTTCATTTAATTTTAAACAGTAGTCGTTCCAAAAATTAACTAATGAACATTTTTGATAATAAAAGCAGCAAAGTTGAATGAAAAAAAAAATCAGGTAGTAAGTGATAAAAATATGAACGAAGAGATGAGTTGGAATTTGCATGGATATTCGAAAGATGCTAAACTGGCAGAAAAATTTGTAAATTTAAAAATTCAACTGCAATGGAGTGAATGGTCATCATGCGAGCAGGGTACTATAGTAAGGACCAGAGAAGGTGATTTTTTTTTTCAATTTCTTGAATTATGAAGGAAATACATTGTAGCTTCTTAGAATTTCCAAATTTTCAGGTCATTGTTATTTGAAAAAGATAGATCCAAGTAAAGATATCGGTCAGCTGGTAGACGGTGCATTTGCTGCCTATGATCTATTCAACTGGGTGAAAAAACTCAAAAATCATATGTCAGAAATTCCCGAATTCAATACTACTGGCATACGTCTTTACAGGTACTTCGATTTTGTTCTTTTATTCGCCCATTTCTCTCATTAAATGAAATGAATTTAAATTCCAAAGAAAGAAAGGTTTATAATCATTAATAGATACTTATTTCAGTGGATTGATATCAAAACTAATTCATGAAGGTGCATTCGGCGATGACAAAAGCTATGATGATTGTTACAGTGTTCGTGCTGATATTACAGTCTTTTTCCAACTTTATTCATTTCAAATTTATTAGACTATATTTTATTCAATATTAACCTAAAAAGGACTTCCTAAAAAAAGTCTTAAACAGTAACGTAATAGGTTTAAAATTTGGAAAAAAATTTTTTTTCAGATGAAAGATATGTTCTTTAAGAGACCAAAAGCTACAAAACGCTGGATCAATGCAATTTTTGCCGCATTTGGAATTGATAATGCCAAATCAATGTTGAAAATGAGTGATAGATTATGCCTGTATTATTATAATAAGCCGACGATACGAAGGGATAAAGCGCCAGCTAGCGTCTTTGTCGGTACCCATCTTGTAGATACCCAACGTTGTTCAGTTCTTTGAATTATGTAAACTTACGCTGCTCTAAATTTATTTACTAATTTTATTGTTATTTTTTAAAATAATTTTTGGAATAAAAATTGAATTTTTATGCAGCCTTTTATCACATTCAAATTCTCTTTTATAGTTGCTGCCAATTATCAGATTTTACTTTCTGGTTTGGTAATTTTGTTCTTGCAGCACAATTTCAAATTATTTGGCTTTCCTTTTTTTCCATCAATAGAATTTTACTTTTTTTTTCTTCTGCTTCTTAGCAAAATTTTACATTATTTAGTTATTTTGCTTTCATTTCTATTATTTCTAGCTGCAGATTGCTTCATTGTCTTGCATTAATTAACATGGTTGCTTCAATATTCCACTTGAAAAAATATGACTTCTCTTCACTCAATATATCTGTTCTATTTTAAAGGAAACAAAAATGCTTGAATCCATAATTCAATCAATTATATTTTATTGATTATCAGCGCATTCAAACCACTACCGCCATTTTAAAAATAACATTAATCAGAAGAACTCTATTGAAATTGAAAGAATTGAAGATAACAGAGAAAATCCGTTTGGATTTGACCTGATAACGAATGGATTTTTTCTGTGAGAAAAGTACAGGTAACAGTATTTTAATTTGATTTCTAAAATTCTCGATCATACAACTCTTGTGAGTTATCATTTATTACAAATCATTCTGGGTTATCACGTGAAACATCAAACTAGATATCAAATTCTTGCACTGTTAAGGATAATAAATTATCACAAAATGTCTGTGTTTATAAAGTTTAAAGTCTTGAAAATGAATTAAACTGTATTACCAGTGATTAGCCTCCCTTAAACTCCAAAGTATGAAACTACTTGCATTACACTAACCGATCTGATTTATCAGCCTGATTTATTATCTTGCTATTTTATCATTTTTATATCGTTCATTATTGTTTGCTGTTTTTTGTTGCTTTTTGAGATCAAATAAATCTCAGACTACTACTCGAGAATTCTCGGTCATCATAGGATACTTTTCCAGAGGCAAAAAAACTTCCTATTCTATATGAATGAAGTCAAAATCTGTTAATAAGAAGAACGTCCTAAACAGAACTAGATTTTGAAAAATTAAAAAATAATTTAAATCATTATTTTAGATAATTAGTTAGTAAAACTAAAATTCCAATTGGCAGCTTTTATAACTTTTAGAAAATGCGACATATGTTTATACTTTTTTACTTAAAAAATTTTTTGAGTTTTTTGAATTTTGATCAGTTACGGTTTATGAGGGAGAGAGAGAAGAAAACAATCACCCGTCCCTATTTTGTTTAAAGTGAATGTTAGTATAAGATTGATTGAAAAATTTAGCTTAACTTCGTTGACACTTAAATAACTGCAGTTTTATTTGGTTGGTGACCATTTCAGGTATATAATTTCATCCTTTTTGGAGATTTTTGCCCCACTAAAATTGTTGATCTAAATTTCTGCGCTAAAGGTTTCTTTAATTTGCATTACAATGCATTGAAACAGCGATAAGCATGACAAATTTATCAGAAAATAAGGAAATTCATCATAAAGGATATTCTATCTTGAATGTTTCCCCTCTTTACAATAACAACAAGCTGAAAGACGTAAATTCACAAAAAAAACCTTTGGTATATTATTGTGGTGACAGTGATGGTGGTAATAGTGATGATGGTGGCGGTGATGGGATGGAAATGATGGAACAAGTAGTATAGGACATTGCCTGAATTTTGGGGTAATGAATGGTGTGCAACCCGAAATGACCCCGTCATCATCCATTCCTCTTTTGTATGTAATTCATCGTACAAACAAAACTGACTGCTTCTTTTTTTCTTTTTTTTTACAAATTTAATTGATTTACCAATTTTTCTGTTGACGTTTAATTTTTAGAAATAAACTGCCATTTACATACAAGACACATTTTATGTGCTCAATATTCTCTCTCGACGATTGTTTGTCAACCCCACTTTCTACTCATTCAATTTGACTTTTCCATATTCTTTTCAGTTTTGCAACCGCTTGTGGGACAAATAGCTGTCAATTCAGACAATTTAGATTTTACAAGATTGGCACTAATTCATTTTATGTTCGACGCAGTCACTAATGAAAATTCCTTTCAGTCTGTTAGTGTTAGTTTATTTTAAATTTCACGAATGATCATGAAGGATGGTAAAACATCAGAAGTGCGAAGTACAGATTGGAAAAATCCAATGATTGATATAACAATCTGAAAAGGGACATGAAAGGAAGGAAGAGATGGATTATGAAATCGTTTTGAAATTGAGTAAAAATAACTCGGAAATTGAAGGATAACACTTGGAGGAATATTATCAATCGCAATTTTTAGTGCTATTTAGCACAGTATGATCAGAAAGAGAATCTTTATGATAGGCACTGATAACAAAATAACCATCCCTTAGCAAATGTTTCATTCTTTTGAGTAAGCAACGAAATGTTTCAAATTTTTATTTGTGAAATTAGTCCTTCATAAGAATGCCAAAATAAAGTATATAATTAAAATTTCAATGTTAAATTTGTCGGATTTTTATTTTTATAATTGAAAATTTGATGAAAACTAGTATTGTAAAGAACAACACGCAACAATAACCAACAACAAACAATTATTGTTGAGCCAATCTCTCTTCTGCAATGTATTTTGCATCAAATTTCCGTATTGAAAACAATTATCGTTGAGCCTAAAGACCTGTTTTTTATTAAGTCAAAGTACGCCATTTACTTCAACTATTTTCACGTTATCTTAGACAAATTTAAATTCAGTACATTCTTGATGAATTCATAACTGTTTATAGTTTTGATAAAAATGGTACCATAATTATTTCGTAAATTGTAAAAAACCATCAAAAAATGTTTTCATCATAGTCATTAATTTTATTTATTTGAGTTAACCCTTCAATTGGCCATTTTTACAAAAATAATTTTGATCTTTTATTCATTGCAAATCACAGCTGATCAAAGTATATTCTAACGTATCCATCGAAGTACAACTGTTCCTGATCCGTTTAATGCTCTTCGGTATTTATTGATTCGTTTATTTTCCGGCTCTGCACTTTATCTTACCTCTATATAAAATTCATTTATTTCCAAGAAGATCGTTCCAGACAGTTTCACAGGCTTCATCTTGGCTATCATTAACAGTCAGTAAGTAAATTTCCATATAACTTTGTGTTTATCTGAGATGCCTTGTCAACTTTTAAATTAGATTATATTAATTCCATGTCAAATATTCAGACTGCTTTCGTCTGATGAAAATGAAGCTTCTGCTGTATATTTTGATCTGGCCAGGTCCGCTGTGAACGGACTTGTTGATGTGCCTCAAGGAGAAACAAATAAATGACAAGCTGAATAATATAGTGGAATCGAAACTTCCATAATTTAGTTAATCTCCACAAGTAGTTTTAAAATAAGCCTTATTTAAATTCATATCCTTCAGATTGAAATATATTCCTATTAATTTCCCGAAGGAATATTTTGTTCCGTCCTGTAATTTTTGATATTTTTGAGTTCAAGAAAAATTAAATGTCAATAGTAATGTAAATATATTTATTTATGATGATAGCTTTCAAACATTTATCATTCATGACTGTATTATAATAATTTATCACTCATAGCAGTGTAACGATTTAAAATCTAACTTAAAATTTCATGTAATAGCCTAGAATAGTTGCTTGAAAGATAGTTGTATGACCAAAAACAATGAACATCAAATTAGAATGCTATTATTTATAGTTTTCTCACAAATTAAATTCATTCATATAATATCGAATCAAATGGATTTCCTCCATCACTTTCAAAGTTTCCCTCAACTGCGTCAATTTTCAATAAACATTTCAATTGATAACATGTATTTTCTCATTCTTCTTCCCGTCCTGTTTCCTACCACATATTGACCTTTTTAACTTTTCCTCTCCTAAAGAGATGATTTGAATGAGAGATAATGTGGCAGTGGCATTTGCAGTGAGGAAAAAAAAAAACATTTCTCATTAATTTATGCATCGCTTTCATCACTTTCAAACTTCACTAATAGAATGCAATAAAAAGTTAATTGAGCTAATACAGTCAATCACTACTTAGACAAATATGATATCTGAAATGAAATACTTAATTGGTTTATGAATTCCGAAAGTGCAATGAACTCCATTCTTTCTCCTGTTATCAAGATGGCTCTTATTCGTGGAACATTGCGGCAAGTGTTTTTGTAATATCTCTTGTTTGTACTGTTTAACCAATGCTAATTTCAATAATTGTATTGCTGAAAAATAAAACTATTATTTCTGCAGTATGAGTTTAATGCTAACTTCACTATCTGCATTACTGAAAAATAAAATTGATATTGATATTTCCACGGTATGTTAAGAAATGCTTTTTCATTTCAAATTTCAAAGATTGCAAAAAAATTGAGCGAAGAAATTGGGTTTTATGTACCGTAACCAAAAGCCTTGATAGTTCATGTCTAAAAGTTTCTTTATTTTCTCTTTTTTTAAAAAGTTTTTGTTCTACACCATCAACACTTGTCAACTATGAAATAATGACACTTTAATTCAGTTTTGTTTTCAAACCTGTTTTTATGATTGAAAAATTGCGTTAGACATCATTGTTTGTATACTTTTACCTATCGAACTTCCTACCGTTTTGTGTATTTTTTGCATATTCATTTCTTCTTTTATGACTTAATTTATTAAAATCTGTTACTAAGTGTTAATTAGCAAATAAATCTAAGAAAAAAAGATAGATCAACGGAAAATTTGTGGTTTTTATTCATCCCTGCTATTGCAGTAGCCTCAAATATAAGGTCAGATCAACACATTATTTAGCAGAAATAATAAATTTATTTATTTTAAAATTATTCCAACTATAATTTATAAGGAACATAGAAGATATCATTGTTTGCTAACATATTCATAGTTCATATATTCATTCCAATTAAAGTCTCCCTTATCATTACCAATAGTGAGTGTTTAGTAAAAATTCTCATCGTTGGCAGTAATGAT